GAAAATCTATAAAATATACTTTTTTTTATTGGATTCGAATTGACTCGGAATGACTCGGGGTGATTTGGTGTGACTCAGCTATTTCTATCATTCTCGAAGACTTCTAGGCCGAATTCTAAGTGATCCATGTATTTCGAAGTCATCTCATTCCGATATTAGAATGGAGAGCTCCGTTTCAGTGACAATGACTCGGTCGATTCTTTGAACCATGCATTCCAAAGCATCCCCAGTGCCCATTCTCAAGGATGTATAAACCAAGTGAAATTGGTCTTTTTATATGCAAGGCATGTTGCTCGCAGACCAATGCTACCTGTTATAATTGTGAACCTTGTGAATTAAGTATTTCTGTCAAGTGCGCTAGTGCTAGCATGATCACGAGTGTCAAACATGATGCCCACAAGAAGCACCTCTTGACTCAATTTCAAAGTTCAGATTACATAGATTGCATGTCATGCAGCTTCCAAAGAGGTAGTTTTGGGTTTGCTTGTAAGGATTGCCATTTCTATTTGTGCTATAACTGTGCTCTATTGCCTCCTACAACCACACAGAGATGGGACAAGGATCCATTTATCCTGATATGTCCCCCATATTTTGAGCATCCTGAGGAATTCTACTTTGTGCTTTGCTCTGTGAACAAGAAATCAATCCAAATCATTGGATGTATCACTACTGTGAATGCGACTATTCATTGCTTCCTCTGTGTATTCCCCAAAATGGGAGGTTCAGACATGTGAAATTTGGACGCTCCCTGAATGTCAATAATCATTCTCATCCTCTCATGCTTGTTCCCGAAGCAAAATACAAATCCTTTTGTGGGAGCTGCAACAGGAGGTAGAATTGGAAACCGGATTTTGAATTCGATTCGCGCAGATTTTACTTGTGCATTGATTGTGCTTTTGAAAGGAAATTGACTGATAATGGAGAATAACAGTTTCAGGTTTCTATAATTGGTTTTCAATTATATATTTATGAATTATTTGGAAGTTCAAATTGAGTAATTAGTCATTTTGTAAATCGCTACTTTTTTTTCCTTTTTTGTAAATCACTGCTTGTTTGGTGTTGTCTTTTGTTAATTCATTTTTTTCGTAATTTGTGCAACAAATCTCATTTTAATACCCCAACATTCTCTGGTTTGGTTTTGTTTGAATAGGTTATTTCTGATTTAGCTTCGGATCCAGGCTTCAAGCTGCTCCTCTGCCTATTATTGCGGTGGAATCCTGAAAGAGTGGTCAAATGACTGAGGAATTGGAAGAAGTGTTAAGGAAATTTGATTTAACTGATAAGGAAGCTGATGGTGTTCAACTGGATGGGAGGGAGTGTTATCAAGGGGTAGAGGAATGTATGATGAGCATTATAGGTAAGGTGGTGGGAGAGAAAACTACAAATATAGCTGGAATTAAAAGCTTCACCAGTAATATATGGCCATTTGTCAGAAACCTGAAGGTCATTGACATCAGAGTTAACATGTTCCAGTTCATCTTTAGTACTAAGCATGATATGACTAGGATACTTAATGGTAGACCTTGGATCTTCGATAATCTACCTCTGATTCTACTCCCATGGAGGGAAGGGATTGAGCTTGAATCTGATGCTTTTTCGAAGACATGGATCTGGGTCCAAATGTGGAATTTACCGATTCATTGGGTTACTAAGGAGATTGGGAAAAAAAAAATAGGAGGAGTTTTCAGCAATGTGGGTGATGTTATAGTTCCGCCTGGGGGGAAAAGAAGGAAGGCATGTTACAGTTCTGGTGGAAATGGATCTTAATCATCCTATCCTGAGAGATACTACAGTAAAAATGGGGGAGAGAGCTGTATGGGTAGAGTTTAGGTACGAAAAATGTCCGGATTTTTGTTATTGTTGTGGGGTTATGGGCCATAATGAAAAAAGCTGTAAGGATAAAGGGGTGAATATCAATAAGGAATCACAATATGGTGCGTGGCTGCAAGCTAGCTCTTCCAGAAGTCTGGCAAAGAGATTTAATAGTACTAAATCCTCTGAATGAAATAATAGAGAGGAACAGGGTACTGTGAAAGAAATGAGGGAAGGTAATAAGCAGTTACTACTGATTTGGCAAACTGAAGCAAGCAATAATGAGTTAACAGATAATATATCTAGTAGGAGTGATGAGAATTTCAAGGGGCCTGAGATGTAGGATAGGAACCTTGGGGGAGAAATTGTAAAACAAACAGTTTCTGAGGGTGAGAGATTGGGGGGGACAGGGGGATGAACAACAGAACAGGGCTGATGGGGGTAGGAGTGGGGTAGGGAGGGCAGGTTTGAGTGTGGAAAACCTAGAGGGAGTGGTACAAGATGTTGCAGTGGAGGGGGAGAGGGGTTTAGAGGAGTGTAACTTGATGTGGATTATTGTCAGTATGGAAGGAAATAGTAAGAGGAGTGGACTGACAGAGGTTAAGATTGAAACTGAAGGTCTCAAGAACATTAAGGGTGGGAAGCAACAGCTTGCAGGTAAGTATAGGGGCAGTAAAGGGTAGAAGAGACTGGTTCAAGAGATAGGCAAAAGGAAGCCTCTCAATGAGCAAAATGCTGGAGTGGTACTCCAAAAAAGGAATACTAAAAAAAGGAAGCAAGAAGGTAATGTTGGGAAGGAAAATGAGGAGGTGTTGGAGGGGGAACAGAAAAGGAGTAAAATAATGGCTAGGGAATCTGAGGAACTTACAATGCTAAAAGTGGTAGAGCCCAACCTAAATGAGGCTCCAAAGTCTTTATGAAGGCTCTGGTGTGGAATTGTCGAGGTGCTGGGAGCCCCTTGATAGTTCCCAACTCGAAGAGATTATAAATCTCCACTCTCCAGAGGTGGTGTTTCTGCCAGAAACTAAAAATAAGAAATGCTTTATGAACAAAGTAACGATGAAACTGAGGTTTGATAAGTTTTTTGTTGTGGACCCAATTGGTAAGTCAGGTGGCTTGACAGTTATGTGGAAAAAAGAGCTTCCAGTAGGTAAGGTTCTATTTACTGAGTTTACTATAGAATTACAGATCAAAGGGACAGGTGGGGCGGCTCAGTGGTGGCTCATATGTGTTTATGCTAGTTGTAATGAGGCAATAAGAGAGAAACAATGGAAAATCATCACAGAAAGAAAGGTTTTATGAGGAAGGAATTGGGTGCTGGCTGGGGATATGAATGACTTGGTAAATAATGATGAGAAGTGGGGGGTGTTAGGAGGCCTGAGAGTAGTTTCAGGAAGTTCAAGGATTTTATTAGAATCAATGAGCTAATAGATTTAGGCTTTGAGGGGGCTCCTTGGACTTGGTGAAATAATTGGGAGAAGGAAGGGGAGATTCAAGAAAGACTTGATAGAATCCTGGGCAGTAAAGGTTGGAGAAAAGAACACAGGGAAGCAAAATGTTTGCACATACAAAATGAGGCATCTGACCATTGCATGTTGCTGCTTGATACTGAACCGAGGGGTAAAAAATGGAAGAAGAGATTCTACTTTAACAGAAATTGGCTCAAAAGTTCAGATGTGGGAGATGAAATCAGTAGGGCTTGGGGTAAAGCGCAGAATAGCTCAAGATTCTATAAGCTGCAGCATAAGATTAAGGAGTGCAGGATAGCTCTTTTGGACTGGAATAGGCAGAAAAATGATAATGCTAAGAGACAAATCAAAAGTATAAAGAAGGAGCTGGTGGATTTGCAAAGGAGTAATCTGGGAGATAAGGGTGAGAGAAGAGCTACATTGAAAAAGAAATTAGCCGATGCATATAGAAGGTAGGAAGTATATTGGGCACAGAAGGCTAGAAGTAACTGGTTAAAGGAGGGGGAAAAATACTAAGTATTTTCATGCTATTGTTGAGGGAAGAAGGAGACGGAATACCATTTCAAACTTGCAGAAAAGTAATGGAAATTGGTGCAACTCTATGGAGGAGGTTGAGGGTGAGATTGAGAAATACTTTAAGGAACTGTTCACTTCTTCTAATCCTCAGAATTTTGACTCCATTCTGAATGGCATCCCTCAAGTGATTACAAGGCAGATGAATGCAAAGCTCGTGAGGCCTATGTTTGAGGTGGAAATCAGAAAAGCTGTGTTCTTTTTAGATCCTAATAAAGCACCTGGACCAGATGGTTTGACTCCTATCTTTTTTCAACAGTTTTTGCATATCATCAAAGGTGATCTTCTAAATACCATTTCCAGTTTCTTTCATTCAGGGAACCTGTTAAGTGCTATAAATGATACCATAATAACTCTCATCCCTAAAATTGACCACCCTGTCTGTGTGTCTCAATACAGACCAATTAGTCTGTGTAATGTGGTTTATAGGATCATCTCAAAAATTCTAGTTAATAGGTTAAAATCTCTGTTAAAGTCATGTATTAGTATGAACCAATCTGCCTTCATCCCTAGAAGGCAGATCATTGATAACATCATAGTTGCACATGAGTCAGTTCATTGTTTGAATACTATGAGGAGAGGTCCTAATGCTTTTATGACTCTAAAGTTGGATATGTCCAAGGCGTATGATAGAATGGAATGGCAGTTTGTGGTGAAAATGATGGATAAGATGGGTTCTGCCAAATATGGATCAGATGGATCTTAAAATGCACGTCTTCTGTTGCTTACTCTTTTAACATTAATGGTGAGAGGAAAGGATTTGTTAAACCTTCCAGAGGACTTAGACAAGGAGATCTCTTATCTCCTTACCTATTTTTTCTGGTTACTAAAGGTTTCTCTAACTTGTTGAGAAAAGCAATGCTGGATCACAGGTTGACTGGGCTCAAAGTAGCACCTTTTGGTCTGGCTCTATCTCACCTATTTTTTGCAGATGACACACTTATTTTTTGTAGGGCTAATAACGAAGAGGCTGGAGAAGTGATGTAGATACTAAAACAATATGGGGATGCTTCTGGCCAGATTGTAAATATGGAGAAATCTTCAGTCTTTTTTGGGAAGAATACAGTAAAGGATAGGAAACAAGAGATACTGGGGATGTTAGGAGGTATGCAATTAGTAAACTAAAGTAGATATTTGGGTCTCCCAATGGTCATTGGAAGATCAAAGAGACAGGTGTTTGGTTATATAAAAGAGAAAGTAGTGAGCAGAATGAGGGGATGGAAGGAGAAGGTTCTGAGTCAAACTGGGAAAGAAATTATGTTGAAGTCAATTATTTTGGCACTCCCTACCTATGCAATGAGCTGCTGTAAATTGCCTAAGTCTTTATGTATGGATTTATGTAGACAAATGGCAAAGTTCAGGTGGGGGGATAGTGAGGAGGCAAAAAGAATTCATTGGATTAGCTGGGATAAGTTGTCTGAAGTGAAAGGGAAGGGAGGTCTGGGATTCAGGGATCTTCAGTGCTTTAACAAGGCTACGCTAGCTAAACAGCTTTGGAGAGTGTTGACAAATCCAAGTCTTCTAGTTAGAAGGGTTCTTAAGAATAGATATTTCAAAGGAACTTCTATCTGGGAGACAAAGGAAAGAGGTGGACATTCTTGGATATGGAAAAGTATACTTAGTGCTGGGGACTTGCTAGAAAAAGGAGCAAGGAAGAGAGTTGGTGACGGTAGCACTATTAACATTTGGAAGGACAAATGGATAATGAATAGTACGAATGGAATGGTGCAATCCAGGAAACCAGAAGGATGCCAGATATCAAGGGTGCAGGGATTGATCAGCAATGGCAGATGGAGAAAGGATTTGATGCAAACATTGTTTAGTGCAGAAGATTGTACTAGGATAGGGAGTATCCCATTGAGTTCATGTGGAAGCAAGGATAGACTAATTTGGCCAAGGTCCAGTTCTAGATAGTACATAGTCAAAATTGGGTATGTACTGGCTAAGGAGATGAACAGCAGGAAGGAGCAGATGAAGGAAGGTGAGGGGAATAACAGCAGAAATGAAGCAAACTCTGGAGCATGGAAGTTTTTATGGAGTCAAAACACTAAACAAAAACTAAAACACTTTATATGGAAGTGTTTAAGGGGAATACTACCAGTAAATGAGGTGCTGAAGAGAAGAAGTGGGAAAGGAGATGAAAGGTGTGTATGCTATGGAGAGAAGACAGAAACTCTGGAACATATGTTGTTCTTTTGTAGACATGCAGAAATGATATGGAAAGCTGCACCTATTAGTTGGGATGGATTACAGGAATTCAGACACAACTTTTGGCTATGGTGGAATTGTCTTATGGATGCCAAAGAAAGAATTCAAGGGAGGGATTATATAGTCCTTACTATCAATATTCTATGGCAAGTGTGGAAGTCTAGGAATAGTATTCAGTTTAACAGAGAGGAAAGGTGCCCCGAAGGGATTGTGAAGAAGGCAATGATGGAATGGGTAGAGTATCAGGCGGTAGGGAGTGTGGATGATCTTAACAGGAAGTCAGGGGATGACAAAGCTAGTAATGGTGGTAGATGGTCACCTCCACCCAAAGGCTATGTCATCATAACTACTGATGCCAGTCTGAACATACCAAAATAGCGAGTTGGAAGGGGGATTGTGGCCAGAAAGGACGATAGAGGTTTGATTGGTGCATGGGCAGCAAGTGATGACAAACTTGGGGAACCGGCTGTGGAGGAAGCCCTGGCCATCAGGCAGGGCTTGCATATTGCAAAGGAACAGGGTTGGAGGAAGGTCCTGATACAATTTGACTGCAAAGGAATAGTTGGCAAGATTAATGTGAGAAAGGCAGAGGATCCAAATACTGGAGTCCTTATCTTTGATATCTTGAAGATCAGACAAGATTTCACGGAATGTTCCTTCTTCTTTATCCAAAGAGAAGGTAACTTTGTAGCTCACCACTTGGTAAAATTTGCCATTAACCTGAGGAATGACTTTGTGTGGCAGGAATCTTTTCCTGAATAGCTGACTAGTTTAGCTAGGAAAGATGTAGGAGCAAGTGCTCCAGCTTTGTAAGCTTTGTGCATGACTCATGAAATTGTTATCATTAGAAAAAAAAAATACCCCTACAATTGGTAATCCCATTCTCCTAATCTTTCAATCCTGTAAAAGATTGAAGATATCTCCGTCTCTCATTCCTGTCAGAATTACTCAATTTTCACTAGAATACAATTGCAATGAAAGGTAGAAATAATTAATTTTATCTTTTCACATGATTAAAAAGTTCAAGGAGAGGGTTATATCAAGCATGAGATTGTCAATACATCCACTATATTTAAGGGATAAAATTACCAAGAGTTTGATTATTCTTTGAAGGATTTTTTTTTTTTAACAATATTACTGAGTTCTAGGTAGAGCGGTGCAAATTATATTGACATTAAGAATTTGTGACAAAAGTCCATGTCAAATCCAAACGATTAGCATAAATCTCTAAGCAACAACATTAAAAAATGCCTGGATCTTCGAAAAACTTTTTTTTTTTTTGTGCGTAGTGAATCTGCTAACAGCTTTCTGTCTTTGAGTGAGGTAAATCTTCAAACAACTTAAGTCCCATAACCAACCACGTTAAGTGCTGGGAAAAAGTTAGTCTGGTACCTTATTTTCTGAGTCCTAGTTTGATCTTTCATAATTCAGTTTAGATACATTTGGTTCTTCACTAGTCATAGTTTATTTCAACACTAAATATGGACGCAGAAGAGCTACGTTTATCAAGATTGAAGAGCATTGCTGGTTGGATATTTTAGATGCATTTAAATCGCAATTTGTTGCTAAATTAGAAATGGAGAAAGCAAACACAATTTCTCACTGAAACTGTCCAATTTCTTATTGAAGAATTTGAATTTTCAGTCGTCTTTTATGTTTGTCATGGTTATTATTATTATTATTGTTATTTGGGCAAATAATACTTTACCTCCCTGTGGTATAATTAACTTTGACATAACCTTTATATAGTTTTAAAATCTATACATAACCCCTCATAGTTTAGGCTAAAGTTTCAAAGTAACGAAAATGATCATCCGTAACGGAACTTATAAAAATATCGAAATTACCCTTGTTTTAAAACTAAAATGACTGAAGTGATCAAAATATATAAACATAAGATGCATGATACTCTAACTCCGTATGATTTTATATTTTACCATATAACTCACTTATGATTTAGTACTTTACCATATAATCCCTTTATGGTTTTCAATATATATGCATAATCCCCCTGTGGTTAATAAATAATTTTCAACTTTACATAAGGGTATTTTTGATATTTTAATTGATTCTGTTAAGGATTGCAAATTTCGTTACTTTAACACTTTAATCCAAACTATAAGGGGTTATGTAAAAAAATACTAAACCATAGGGGGGTAAAGTGTAATTTGCCCTTATTATTTTGTAAAGCAAGAGGGAAGATTTGTCATGCTATACTATTACAAAGCATCGTAGTTGACGTCTGATATTACATTGATCATATTGTAGAGCCAAAAGAAGATAAGAAGGGCCAAATTTAATTGTAATACAACCTAGGGATACATCAAAAGAAAAAAGCATGCTTAGAGAAAGCAAGAATAAATTTCTCAATATTATAAATTGCCCAGATAGTCGCAAAAGAGCCCTGCGTGGAATCGAAGAGAACTGAATTTCATGTAAAGAGAATCCAACTTTTTCTTGCACGTCAATCTTGTGTTAGCAAATTCTAAAATCTACAAGACAAGGGAACTATACAAACCTGATAAAAACAGAATTTTGTTGCTTGTTTGCTTCTTCTAGAGGCTGAGGAGAGACTATCGGTTGTTTTGGTCATTGTTGGTATAAATGTGTTTTGGGTGTGGTATGTTTAAGAAGGGTTAGAAAGATCGTAATAATCTGGGAGTTAGAGGAAGGATTAGGTAGGAAGATTGTAATCATGTGGGAGTCAAAAAGAAGCATTAGACAGATTAGATTAGATGAGGAAGGGAATTTTAAGCATTACAAAAGAGGAAGAAATATGATTGTATAATATAGTGTGTATAAACACACACGACATACACACATACATGTATATATATAATTAAATGTCTCTGTCTCTGTGAATAGGATTTGTTCCCAAAAATGGAAAAAAAAGTTTGCAGAATGTGTCAATATGCTATATCTCAAATTCTTAGTTTGTGTACTGGGATCATTTAAGCATATATACCTTTTGTGCCAAAAGTAACAAAAAAGTACCAGACAGTTTTTCTATAACCAATATATTTCAAGAATCTGAAATTTGTGAATACTGTTAATAAATCAAAAGGTACTGACAATTTTGCAGAGACGCTCACTTCATTGAAAATATTGTACATATTTGCTCATATTTGGCTTTGGATAATTGTAGCATCCAATTTCTTTACTCGTAGGTGTGATAAGTTACAGACATAGAACGCGTCGACGAAACTCACCAAGAGCCCAGATTGGGAATATATTTCGATATGTTGCATAATGCATAGTGCAATTCTTGAAAAAGATACCTGTGGTTTCCTGTAAAAAGAAAAATTGAAGATGAGAAAGTTGTCATGATTGCACATAATATCCAACAATAAATTGAAAATCAGAACAATACGATGAATATATTAGTTTTGCCCTTAGGATTTTTATCATTGTCAGATTCAAGATTCAAATCTTGTGCCTGATAATTGGGGTAGGAAGAGTACGGGAAGGGGTAGAAAGAGCATAAAATATCTATACAGTATACCTGTTGGGGAAAGTCACCATCTTCCATCTGCGAATTTATTAGCAATCGTATTCCGCGATGTATGGGTGTTGGATCAAGCTCTACCTGATATCGGTAGGAATCTTTAGGAGGAATCCGTGAAGCATTGTACAAATATTTAATTTATTTTCATTATCTATAAGAAATTGAGATTCTTAATGTTTGTCTCTACTTTGTTGCTTTCAACAATTCATCCATTTGACTCGAGCATTTTATTTAGTGCTAAATCTGAGTGTCTCTCATGCTTCTGATAATCAGACTAACCTGCCCAGCAGCAATCAAAGATAACAAAGCCCATGAAGTTTGCACCAAATTTGACCGGTCTCCATCTAGATTTGTGTACTCCTAGTGCAACCAAAAAAGGAAAAAAAAATGAAAGAATGAACAAATTAAGGAAAAAATTTAAAAAAATGTAAACAAGGGACTATAAGTTAATGCCACATATGTATATATATGAGTGTATATTTCTGGACTGAATATTAGTTTAAAGGATGAAATTATTGGAATTCGAAGGGAAGTTAAAAATTTGTAAACCTCATTTGAGCATGAAAGATAACTCTCGCCCCATCCACCATCATGCAATTGCTTTGATAGCAAAAATCCACACGCCTTTTGCAGAGTTGTGGAATTTTTATAGTTCTTTCCACAAGCCACCAATCCCTCCACTGCAAACCAGGTTGCATATGTGTAACAAATCCCCCAGCGACCATACCTGTGAAGAGTAGAAACCTTCATGACAAGTTTATGTAGATTGTTATTATTTGGATAAATTATATGTATGTTCTTGAAACTGTTCTTGAAGGTTCTATGTAGTTCTCAAACTATCAAAATGTCTTACAAGATCATCAAAGGTTGTCAAAAAATAATTATTATTTCAATAATAATAATAATAATAATAATAATAATAACAACAGCAACAACAATAATAATAGCAATAATAAGAATAAAAACAATAATAACAATAACAATAATAATAATAATAATAATAAAACACTAATAACAATAACAATAATAATAATAATAATAATTTGGTGTCTACGGCAGTATGACACTTGAGATTTTACCCAAAGATAAATCCAACAAACTCAAATTTGAGTTGATAAGGTCTGTAGTGGAAACCGTATGTACATTAGTAATGCACGTGGCTTAATATGACCACACTAATAGTTCATAATTAATAGAAGTA